CAGGTTCCACCAGGGCTCCTCAAGAGATTTGGACCTGTACCTTTAGATGGTGCAGCCTGTGTTGTTGGACACCCAGGAGGAGGAGTGAAAAAAATGGATCCTACATGTGTCATTGAGAAAACCAGACGAGAGGAGGCTGTTCATAAAAATTTAGAGGACTACAAGGAATACATCATCACTCTTTATGCAATCAATCAGGCGATCAAAAATGACCCATATGAAAATACCTATGTGACCTACAACTCTTTCATGTATCACCGCTCTTCTGGATACCCAGTATTTGATGCTCATGGACGAGTGTTTGGTTTGCACAGTGGTGGATTTTTCTATGGGTTTCCAAAGAGTAAACAGAGTGTGATTGAATTTTCCTTTCCTCTGCTCACTATATTTGAAAACTTTGTGGGTAATTGGAAGAAAGAGGGGACTTATGGGAAGGTCTTGGCAAGAGTTGAGGAGGAGGCAAAGGGAAATCCACACCTAGAATACAGATTTAAATCTGTTGTGGGGCCAAAGCAAGGTAGTCCCGAGGGGCATTTGCAGGAAGTTCAGGGTAATACAGCAGCTTCTGAGGAGCCAATGCAGATTACTGCATCAGAATCTCCAGCAACAGTCAAAGGACTTATGACTGTATAGGGACAGAATGATTGCAATAATTAGTTTGGCTGCCTGAAAAGCTGCTTTCTGTTTTGTATAGACAAGAGCTGAACTCTTATTTTGAATTCTGTTTAACTTTTAGTATGCAGTTTACATGTTTCTGTTTAGTTTTTAGTGTCAGTTATAATTATTATTATAATTATTACAAAGGTAGTGAGTAATCATGTAGACATCCCAAGTCTTAATATCTATTTTCTGGGGAAAATTTGTGCTTTTTTTTATTAATTGTAGTTTTTTATGTACAGCTTTTTTTGTATATTTTTAGTTATTTCAGGTATCAAAATGTTTTCAAACCTAGCTTAATTTTTTTAAAATTAGTTTATTCTAATAAACACACAAATCTGTCATCACAACAGTGGCTGTGAGCAGGATCTTTCATTATTCAGCCACTGCAATGAAAACTGTTTAAATTGTTTTTTTGTTTTTCAGTTTACTGTAGATGTTTAGGATTCTGTGATTCAAATCATATGCTTGTAACCTGACTGGTATGTATTCAAGTGAAGTTAGACTTTATGATTTCCATTCTTTTTGTTCAAATGGATATTTAGTAATCCTGTATAATTCACACCTGGACTTTTCTCATGGCTTATTTAGGAACCACTGTTTTTAAACTCACTGTTGTACATTACTCTTTCCCGCACTGAACCCCCCTAATGGGGCTCCAAAATGAAGTATCTCATCAGGGATAATGAATTTTTTATTTTTATTTTATTTTTTTAATAATCTTACCGGGGAAAACAGTTCTGAGTATTTTTATTTGTGTTGCTTTACTCGGGTTATGTTTATATTATTTTAGATGTACAAGACTTTGGTCAACAGCTATTGTTTTTAAATGTGCTATATAAATAAATTTGAATTGTTTTTTGAATTTGAATTTTGAATTGTTGGCCCATTTATATCATTTTGTTGCATTCATCACTTTTGTATTTGTCCAGCCTATAACAAAGTTTCTTCTTCTTATGGATGTTGCCATTTTGAATACGAGTCATAAAGAAACTGCTGTCCACTATATTTAGAGCCCAAGCAACTGTACATGTGGGAAAATAAGTCCTTTGCATGGACTAAATTTATTGCAAAACTACCATCGAAATAGGGTAATGATTCAACACCATAAAGGCCATTTTCGGGAAAGAACTTCATACACGCACACAGGGTCAGGTTCTGTCTCAGAGCCCTATTTAACTCCTCTGTGGCTGATCTCTACTCCTCCACTTTTTATGAAGAAACTCTTTACGGACCCTGAGATCACAATTGGGCCCAGCCAGGATGAGGTGCCTTTGTAGTTCCATGAAACCTATACTGAGACCCTCAACGTTGTGGCCAGCAGGACAGCAATAGTACTTCCTACATGTGATCGATGTTTGTTCCCTGCTCAGCTGTTTTACATCCATTTGAGCCTGTTTCAATTACAGTTCTCAATGAGGTGAGATGAATGAAACCCTTTGGCTCTCCCTCGATATCCTCCCTGCATGGCTCTTTAAAGAGTTTTTTTTTTCTCCCTCGATTGGAATCTCAGTTCTTGCCATTATAAATATCAATATTACTTCCAGTGTGGTTGCTGACTGTTTTAAACATACAATTATAAATACTTTATTAAAAAAACTGGCCTTGACCCCTCACTTTGCTCAAATTTTAGTTATCAAGTTATTGGAAAAAATAGTTTTTACACAATTGAACATGTTTTTTTTGGATACTAATAGTATCATGGAGTTATTTTTAGTCTGGTTTTAAACATTTAAAAAAATCTGTTCTGTGTTGCAAAAAAGCTTTTTCCAGTTAAGGCAAATACCAAAGCTTAAGCCAGTTTTATCAAGGCATGACTTGGAGAAAATAATACATGCCTTTATCTCAACACTATTGCGATGCATTTTATGCTGGAGTCAGCCAAGTATCTCTCTCACGTCTTAAGCTTGTTCAAAATGCTGCTGCCCGTCTCTTAACTGGTACACAGCCATGAACATCTCGCCGATCATGTCCTCTCTTCATTGGCTTCTTGTTTATCACAGAATTAATTTCAAAGTCCTAATACTGGCTTATTAATGCCTAAATGGTCTTGCTCTTCCATACCTTTCTGATGTACTTTAGCCTGATATAGGTTGAAACTTAAGATACAGATACATATACAGATACATTGCCTTATACAGATGAAGTCAGATAAATTACATCTAATATAACCAGTTATTGTAGTTTTCAATTTTCTTGAAATATTGGCATAAGAAAAAAAATTGCTAATCTGTTTTCATTTTAGTTGTACAAGTTTCAGTGAAGTCAAATTTTCTAATCTGTAGCTCATGACTGCAAATTAGACTTCATTGCTGTCGCTTGATCTTGGATCTGTATTGTTTGCACTTGTAAGACACGCCTGAGCTCTTCAATCACTTTAGCAGTCTGTTTGCTTACTTGGGTGTGTCAACCAGCATGTCTATGAAATGAAACTGCAGGTTAACACATGCATTACATACATTAAGAAAAATGTCAGTCACATCTCGGCTAATAATACTGCAGGATTGTACTTCTTCATATATTGTCTTGACATTTCTCAGGTTTATTTCATTTTTGTGCATCTTTTTATCAGGACAGTTCTGGTAGCAGCAGAGTGCACAAAACCACATGGAGATATGAGCTCTCAGGTGAGCTCTTATGTCAGTGTAAATCTTTAGGTTTTGGATGTTTTTAATATCTGAGGTCTGGTACAACAACAGCACGTGCTATGTCCTCAGTAATAGCTTAGCACAGCAATTTGTTTTAGCATATGTCTGTGAAAGGACATACAGATGGCTTTTAAATTCCTGGTTTCTGAACAGAAGATTGAAAGAGGGGGGAAAAAAGATGCTTGAGTTGTTCTTGTGCCTAACAAAATGAATTCTTTTTACTCTTGTTACTCCGGGCTGCGCTGAACTTTAGACAAAGTGAGTTAGCACAATTTAAATGCCAAAAAATATTGGTTGTGTAATTGACTGGCATCTGGCGTGGCTTGACCTGTCACCAGGGGCCCAGTGGGTGGTAGACAGTTAATAAAACTATCTACACTATCAAAAGACAACTTTCAGAATATAGTTTTCCATCTTATGCACTTGAGTACAATGATGCTGGATTTAGCGATGAAATAACAAACTGCAAAACAAGGATAAATCCACACACTTGAGATGATAACTTTAGGAGGAGCATACTGAGTGTGAGTATAGAGATGGGGAATTTCTACTTTGACTCATAACTTCTCATTCATGTATTCTGCATTGTGCATCGTATTGAAACTGTCTATATTTGTCCTTGTAGCATGATTATTTCTTTTCAGAATAAATCTGAATCTGTAAACATGGCTGAGGAAAAACATCAAAGTTTAGGGTAAGTGGCTACAGTACACTGTTCACCACAGTTAAACTGTATCACATTTTTGATCTGAGAGTAGTTTCCAGTACTCTTTATTCAAATTTCTGATTGGTTAGGGGTAAAAATTAAACCAGCAACCAAGTGCCAAAAAACTGTGGTGCCTCTTAAGGCCGGTTCTAAAAACAAGTCAGTCCTTAAAGCCTATTTGCCCACAGATGCTAATCCGATGACAACTCGAGTCTATGGAAATGTGTAAGGAATATTTTGGGATTGGACCCCAGTCTCCTCTTAAAAACTGACTTTGTTGTTACATTACAGTAATATTGTGTAAACATTTAACAGTTTCAAGGTTGGAGGCTGTACGTGGAGTAGGAAGACAGCTTTCCTTTGTCAAAGCAAACTGCTTTCTTATCACGACTGCTGCTAATTACTTTGTATTCGATAAGCTTAGAAAGTTAATGATGTGTCCAATAATATGCATAATATATGGAGTAGTGTGCATTTTGGTTTCACCAGTAAGCTAAACCCTTGACATAACAGAAAAGATGAAAATGAACAGCACAACCACCAGGCCAAGGTTAAATAAAATAAACAATTTGAACTCATTAAAGATGTGTTTTACAGTCAAAAATACCACAATATCCATACACATGATGAATGTATGCAAACTTTTGACCACAGCCATGTCTGCACGTACGCGTGCCTGTGTGTGTGTCCCTCCAGAAACATTGTTTAACAATAGATTTTACAAAAAGCAAAACACTATATCACATTTTTTCTGCTTTGAATTACTTTCTTTCCACGTGGAGGTGGGCAGTGAGTCATTGTTCATTACCTGCACAAATTACAAATTCAAACCAATCATAGACTTTTAATGTGTAAGCCATTAATGGTTGGTAACTGCGGACACACTGATTCTTCAAGCTTTGTCAGACTTACAGATCCACCCTTTGTCTGCTTCAGTGTAAGCTGAAAGTTGTCTGAAGGCCAAGAGGAGGAACTGAAGACAATTTCTACTTGGTGACAGAAGATCAAGTTCCTTTGCCACTAACAGCTAACGTCATTTTCATTTTAGAAAGACATGTTATTTAGAGTCTTACCTCTTAGCAGTTCTGAAGTATTCAGGGTTATGCAGGGTCTTTGGATGCTAATTGACCTGGAATGTTTGTTTTAAATAATTTTGACTATTTTTTGGTTTAATTATTAAATAGAAATATGAGTTTTTAAGAGCAGTAAGATTTATTTCATTAATGTTACATTGGAGAAAAATATGACTGATTTCACAGAAACGAAGCCAAATAAAGTCAAAGCTATCTGCATGACTATTCACGGTAATAACTGACTGTTTTTTTTTTCTTCTTTTGAACCAAACGGTTGAAGCATTAACCTCCTAAGACCCGAACTCTTCCACAGCACGCATTTTTAATTTCTCTTTGATATTTGGGCTGATCTGGACCTGATGAATGTAAAAACAAAGAATTACAAGTTTGCTTTTTTTAAACCTGATTTTTGTTTCTAAGAAAAATCAGAGCCACATATGACGATATTTGTTTAAAATTTCAATAGAACAGTAGCAGTATAATGTCCTCGTAAGTGGATATCAGGCCCTTGTAGAGTGAAATTGAGTATTTTGGTCTAAATAACCAAAAATGTGATGTCCACATATGTTTCCTGCAGTTTTTCTTGCATCAGGCACACTCACCAAGGACATGTGTTTCAGACAGTTAATAGACCAGACTTATCTTAACATAGCCCAGCTTTACTGTGGTTGTAATTTTGGAATCTAAGATAATTAATGTACCACAATAATTTATACCAGTTCATACCTGAAAAGCATTTATT